CCTAATGCAAAAAGCAGGAGCAGTGCAAATAATCCAAACGTGTTTGCAACAATCATGGTCCTACCCGCTGCCCCAATGAATCTGAACAATGCTGATGCCGCTTGATGGAGAAGTAAGAGCAGCATATACTGCTTAAATAGTCTGCAATATAAATTCTCAGTTAATGATCATTTGGAGAACAAAATGAGGTGAGGCATACTAGTGCAATTTATCTATAGTAAAAATAACTTTGCGTTTTACCTTCCTACATTCGGATCAAATCCAATAACATAGTATGTGAGAAATGTCCAAATCCCAACTTCAATAAAAGTGATCGGGATTTTCAGGATCCATGATGGAAGGCCATATGCCCATGCAGGAAAAAAGAGATAGTCCCTTTGTTTGTAGAAGACGGGAAGTTTATAAATTGTCATGGCGAGCTCTGACATTCCATTGAACATAACCATAACAACACTGAAAAATAAGGCACCAAGATACACTCCTCCATCAGCTTCATCATTTTTGTGCATCTCAGTTCGGAAAAAGACAGTCATTGCAATCAATGACATTATAGTAATCTGAAAACAGATGTAAAAGTCATTGTTAATAACAGCACACCACATAAAACATAAGAACATACATTAATAGTATACAACGTCTAATACATGCCTGGAAAAGTTTGAAGAAATAAACAAATGAGTTTCTTTTCATCAGTAAGAGTTCTCTGTCAGCACAAGCCTTCAGGAGCTCTTTCATTCCAAGACCATACTTTTGGGTAGTTAAAGCAGCCGGATGGCCTTTGCTTTTATCAAATGGAACTGAAAGCTCGTCTGCAACTTTCCGGCCTACATGGAATGACTGGTATGCCTCAGCAAATTCACTGACAGTGATGAACCTATAAGGCTCATCCTTCGCCCAGTATTGCTGCTGATCTTTCTTTGATGTCACCTGTCAATAGATTTATTTTTTGTTAGCAATGAAAGGGAAAATGACTACACATGTTCATAAGGCCAATAAGTTGATTCTTTTTTATCTTACTTCTTGCAAGAAATCAGCCACACCCTTCCTGTCGGGGCATCTAAAGCCCATGGATTCAAAAAACTCGAGCACTAGTTCTCGAGGACCCTGATAGACAATCTGGCCATCAGCCAAGAGAATGATGTCGTCAAATAGATCATATGTCTCCGGTGCCGGCTGCAGGAGGGAGATAAAAGCAGTTCCTTTCATAATGTGCACGTATTGTCTAAGCATTTTCACAATTTGGAAAGTTGTAGAACTGTCTAATCCAGTGGATATCTCATCCATGAAAAGTGCCTTAGCTGGCCCGACAAGCATTTCCCCTATAAATTATGATCAAAACAATT